TACTCGTTGACTTGTTGAAGCACATCCCTCCCTCCTTGAGGCCAGAAACCCTATGGGGGCAGGAATCTGTCTGTTCTTTTGCCATTATATCTCCAAAGCACAACTGTGGCAACTATGGATGCTTAATAAGCATTTTTTGAAAGAATAAGGAGTAGAAAGAACAATGGGAAACTCAGGATCCTTGTTTCTTTTATACAATTTTTTTTTTTAGAAAAGATAATACACACAAATGGTATAAAAGGTACAAAACACATAGAGTGAAAAGTCATTTTCCCCCCTTTTGTGTCCGGGCCACCACCTGATCACTACCCCAGAGGCTTTCTTGGGCCTCCTTTCAGATGTGTTATACAAATGCTTTTTCTTAGTTTTTTTTTTAATTCGCACATGAAGCCCACTGTTCTACATCTTGTTTTTTTCACGTAATAGACTTGCAGGTGTTTCCTTATTAGTATGTAGAGAGTTGCTGTAGTGTTTTCATTTTGTTTTTTTATCGAGGTATTGTTTACGTACAACATTTTAAATGTACAGTCTGATGAGTTTTCACAAATGTCTATACCCATATAACTACCACCACAATTAAGACAGAATGTTTTTATCACCCCAGGAAGTCCATTCCCATGCCTCTTTGCAGTTCATTCCACCCCAGCCCAGGTTACCAACAACCTGCTCTCTTTGACTCTAGATTATTGTTGCCTTTTCCAGAATTTGATATAAATGGAATCACACAATATGTGCTCTTTTTTTTTTGCCTGGCCTTTGTCACTTTACATGACGATTTTTGTTTCGCCCGTGTGGTTGCATGTTTCGATACCTCAGGCCTTTTCCTTACTTAGAGTATTCCATGGTATGGATGGAGCAGCTACGTTACCCATTCACCTGTTGATGGGCATGTGTGTCATTCTGATTTGAAGTGAAAGCTGACCCTTGAACAACACAGGGATGAGGGGTGCCGACCCCCTCACAGTAAAAAAAATCTACATATAACTTCTGACTCCCCCAAAACTTAACTACTAATAGCCTTCTGTTGACCAGAAGCCTTAATGATAACATAAACAGTCAGTTAACACATATTTTGTAGGAGGTCGGACAATTAAGTTTGTGAACTCATCCTAGAAAAAGTGCTACATACCTCATTGCTGAATATCACTACAGTCACTTTCGAAGTACTTCCCTTGGGAAGCTATGCATTGATGCCAGCGCCTAGTCCTCGCTTCAAAGCAATTTTGGAACTCTTTTTCTGGAATGGCCATCAGAGCTGTCATCATATTAACCTTGATGTCCTGAATGTCATCAAAATGTCTTCCTTTCAATATTTATTTTATCTTCAGATAAAGAAAGAAGTCATTGGGGGCCAGATCAGGTGAGTAGGGAGGGTGTTCCAATACAGTTATTTGTTTAGTGGCTAAAAACTCCCTCGCAGACAGTGCCACGTGAGCTGGTGCATTGTCATGATGCAAGAGCCATGAATTGTTGGCGAAAAGTTCAGGTCGTCTAACTTTTTCACGCAGCCTTTTAAGCACTTCCAAATAGTAAACCTGGGTAACTGTTTGTCCAGTTGGTACAAATTCATAATGAATAATCCCTCTGATATCAAAAAAAGGTTAGCAACTTCGTTGCAACAAGTTTGCAAACTTGATTGTCAAACCTCATATGTTATATATACTAAATACTGTATTCTTACAATAAAGTAAGCTAGAGGAAAGAAACTTATTAAGAAAAGCGTAAGAGAAAATAATTTCCAGTATTTATTGAAAAAAACCCATGTATACGTAGACCAATGCACTTCAAACCTGTGTTTTTCAAGGGCCAACTGTATTACCAGAAAGCATGTGTGCAGGTCTTTGTGAGGACATATCCTTTCTCTTCTTGGAGCTAAATCCTAGGAGTGAAATCACTAGATTGTAGGGTGGGAACATAGTCGGTTTTGTAAGAAATTGTCAAATTGTTTCCCAACATGGTCACATCATCACTCATGCTTCTTAACATTTCATGACACGTGAAGGTGGCTTTGGGGAAGGGTGACATGTTGGCCACCCAGGCCTTGGCCTGTTCGGAAAATAACCTTTTGGAGGTCGAGTTCCCACACTGGGACCTTTAATGGAAGGTGGCGAGTTTGAGATCTAATGTTGAAAGCCACTTGGATTGACAGGGCCCCAGTTCAGTTCCTAGATCTCTCAGATTTAGGTAAAAAAAAATTTTCTCATAGTAGGAATGTGTAGGGTGGGGTGCTTCTTAAATTTTAGATTCTGGGGGCCAGAGGGACTAAATCAGACTCCTGGGAGGGGAGCTTGAAAATACATATTTTAAATAAGCCCCCTGGGTGGATCTGATGTTTGGGAACCTGTGAGTATAGGGATGTGGGTGAGAGGGCAGGGCATTCCAGGTGGAAAGAACTTCATGAGCAAAATCCCTGAGATGGGAGAGAACAGGTCACAGGGCAAGGACCAGGGCCTCGAATGCTAGCCAAAGAGCTGGGATTTTTCTCCTGAGGGCCCTGGGGAGCCTGGGGGGTTTACGTGGGGGAGTGAGTGGTTGGGTTTAGGCTTTCACAAGATCCCCCCTGGTTGCCGTGTGTGTGTGTGTGTGTGTGTGTGTGTGTGTGTGTGTGTGTGTGTGTGTGTGTAAACCATGGCAGGCCATGAGCAGGGAGAGGAGGGGGGTTGATTTCCACTTTGCAGACCCGCCCCTCTCGTTATTTTTAGGCCTCTGGCTTCTGGCCACTCCCTGCCCTGGATTCTAACCTGAGGATAGCTCTGACTCCACTCACCACACTCTTGCTCTGGTTCTTCCCCTTCCTTCTCCTCCTCCTCCTCCTCCTCCTCCAATGAGGACAGGTAGGCAGGTAGCTAGATGCAGGTGTGGGTTTGTACGCTTGTTGTTGGGGGAGGGGGGGAGTGTCTCCAGTTGTGCAATTGTGCATGTGTTGAGGGCTCTGCGGGTATTTGGATATCTCCTGGGGACTTCCGGGTGCATTAGGGCTAGGCTCTGGTATGCATTAGCTGGATTTTCCCCTCCCATGGGACCTTCCTGCCCCCCAGGATCCTGGCTAATTCCTGAATTTCCCACAAGTGATTTCACCTCTCTTGCCTCTGATCTGTGAATGGAGGTACTATTACCAGTTCCCACCTCCTGGAGTTATTGTGAAGTTCAGTGAGTTAAAGATAGACAGTAAATATGATATTATCTTCTGTCTGCTTCTGTGGGAGCCAGTGTTTCTCCCCAGAGGCGAGTCGAATCTGTGTCCTTGTGTATCTCATCTGAGACTCTGTGTATCCAACTTGCCACATACCAGCTGTGTAACCTCACGTGGGTTACTAGACCCCTCTGCATCTCAGTTTCCTCATCTGCAAAATGGGTATAACAATAGTATCTATTTCCTAGGGAGGATGTATTAATTGAATTAACTACCCCACCTAAAGAACTTTGGACAATGCCTGGCACACCGGCAGTCCTCAGATACACTAGCATCATCACTGAGGTGTGAGCTCAACTTCGAGTACCTGCAGCATGAGTCTCTCTGAGAATCTGGGGCAGAAAGCGCCTGTGGAAGCCCGTGGGGTTATCTGGGGGTGGTAAGGGACCAGGCCCGTGAGGGCGGCCTCTTTTCTCATCTGTGAAATGGGGTAACAATAGTACCCCACACAGGGTTGGTGTGCAGGTGAGACAGGGCTGGAGGGCATCCAGCAGCACACAGCTGTATACCGTTTGCTGTTACCTTTCCTTTAGAATTAGCAGCACCTTCCTTCTTGTCGTCTTAAAGGATGAGATGAACTTGTAAGCACTTAGACCAGCACCTAGATAGCAGAAAGCACTCACTGTGGTGGTTGTAACCTGTGTGGAACTCTGCGCCTGTGCTATCCTGGGCCAGGTGTGGGATGTGGCGTGGCCATCTGGCTCTACAGGTTTCTCCGCCACCCCACTTCCTCCGCACCCCGACCTCCTGTTCCCACCATTGCCCCATCCCTCACTCCAAACTCTCTGTGACCTCTGAGAAAAGAGGGTTTGGCAGCCTGTGCTGTCTGCCCCAGCCCCAGGTAGGGATACAGGCACCCCCAAAATCCAGGCAAGGTTGCTGCTTTCCTCCCAGCTGCTATCTTAGTGTCTCCCTGGAGTTCCCCATCTCTGTGACTCTCAATCTCTGGCTCTGGGTCTCTCTCTGCGCTCCAACCCCCCCACCCCCATCATTGGTTTCTAGAGCAGGAAATGTCAGGGTCCCAAGGGTGTGTCCCAGGTGAGGACAGAGGAGGAAGTAGCAGAAGCAGGATCTCACCCCTCTACCCCCCACCGCCTCTGCTGGGGTGGGGGGGTCTTCATTAATAAACCTCTTAATCTTGCTAGGCCCGATCTTAATGAGGTGGATGAGCCTCATTAGAGAGCAGGGAGCCCTGGTATTAGTTTATTTGTCACACCCCTCTCCCAGGCCAGTGCCTGGGATCTCAGCTGGCCCTGGGGAAACTGGGGCAGGAGGCTTGGGAAATTGAGGAAGGGTTGGGGCCCTGGGCTCCTGGGTCTGAGGGGGGAGGGGGCTGGAGGTCTGAGTTCCTGGGTCTGAGGGGAATGTCTCCCTCCCAAGGGAAAGAAATTGAAAAGAGGAACAAATAATAGCTGTTATTTATTGAACACCTACTATGTGCAAGCCAGGCGGCCAGTTCCTGTCCTATGTGTTTAATGAGCATTTTCTCTAACGACTAACCCTGTTTACAGGGCAGGAAACTGAGGCCCAGAAAGACAGGACCTGGGCTCCTGGGTCTGAGGGAGGAGAGGCTGGGGGACCTGGACTCCTGGGTCCTGAAAGAGAGGACCTGGACTCCTGGGTCCTGAAAGAGAGGACCTGGACTCCTGGGTCTGTGGGAGGAGGGCCTGGAGGCCCAGTTCTTTCCCTCAATACACTCATCTTAAATGACACCCGGAGCGCCCCGCCCCCTTCCGCCCCCAGTTAACCCAAACCCAGAGGAGGAGCTGGGACAGTCGCCCAGACCCGACGGATGGAGGAGGTGCGGGACCGACACGCACTTGGCGGCGAGATGGAGACCGGGGAGCCCACGAGTCCCCAGGAGCCGCCGTCGCCGCCGTCGCTGCCGTCGCCATCGGCCCCGGAGAGCCCTGGGCTCCCCACGCTGGAGCAGCCATCGGAGGCCCACGCGCGGCAGCTGCTGCTGGAGGAGTGGAGGCCGCCGGGCGGGAGCCTGCAGCTGCCACCGGGTCTCACCTGGAAACTGCTGTTCCTGAGGCGGCCGCTCTACCGCAACTTGCTCCGCTCGCCCAACCCCGAAGGTGCGGACCGCGGAGCCCCGGCGCGGCGCTGCCACAGGCTCGTGTCTTCCCCCACGCTCCCTGTTGCGAGCGCCTGGGAGGGCAGTCACCACATTTCAGTCTCTTTCTGAAAGTCAAGGGGACATCAACCCTCACCCAGACGGTCCGTTTCCTTGTCTCTCTCTCTCTGTTTCTATCTCTGTCTCTTTGTTTCTCTGTGTCTCTTTTTCTGTTGTGTGCCTCTCCCTGTCTCCTTGCGTCTTTTTGTCCCGCGCTGCATCCCTGTGTCAGTCTCTATATCATGCGCCTCTATCTCTCCCTGTGTCGCTTTGTCTCACCCTGGATTTCTCCTTCCCTCCCTCCCTCTCTCTCCCTCTGCCCATATGCGAAGTCCCTTCCTCCTGGAGCCCCTCTTTGTCCCTGTCTCTAGCATACCAGAACACCCTCCTCCTCCCCCCTCCAGGCACGGTCCCTTTCCCCCAGGACATTCTCAGCGCTTTCCTTGGGCCCTGACTCATTCAGCCCAGCCAGGCTGCTCTGGCCTGGCAGGTGGGGCACAGATTCCTTCCCTTCCAGAGGAGCCCTGGGGGGGAGGGGGCCGGGAGGATGTGGAGAGGGGCAGCTTCAGCCCATCTGAGGCTCCATCACCTGCCCATTTCAGGCATCAACATTTATGAGCCAGCACCGCCTACTGGTCCCACACAGCAGCCCCTGGAGAGGCTGGGTGAGTGCTGAGTGGCTGGGCCTAAGGGGAGGGGGTGGTGCTGGAGAATGGGCACTGTCTAACTCTTTGCTCCTCCACCTGGCAGGCAACTTCCAAGGGTGGTACATCAAGACTGAGAAGCTGCCACAGAACCTCAGGTGAGTGGCTAGGACCAGTGTGGCCTGCGTTTGATTCCCTCCTCCAGCCTTCATTGCTGTGGGACCTGGAGAAACTGACTTTGCCTCTCTGGGCCTCAGTTTCCCACTCTGTAAACAGGGTCAGTCGTCAGAGAGAATGCTCATAAAACACCTAGGACAGGGACTGGCCGAGCCTGGCTTGCACATAGTAAGTGTTCAATAAATAGCAGCTATTATTTGTTCCTCTTTTCCGTTTCTTTCCCTGGGAGGGAGACATTCCCCTAGGCCTCCATCTGTCTAGATGAAACCAAGCCCTGCTTCTGCATGGTGGGTGAGATGGTATCACTCAGGAGCTCAGAGTCATACACGCCCCAGATTGGGAGCCCGGCTCTGCCACTTCTTTGCTGCTTGATCTTGAGGAAGTGACTTACCTTCTTGAGCCTTGGTTTCTCCACCTGCAACACAGGATTCAGAATGCATCACCCTCCCAGGGGATAGTGGGAACCGAGACTGTAAGGTGCCAAGTGAACACTCAGCACCCATACGTAGGTACCCTCATATGAGGATGCTATAATCAGGGTTTCCTGCTCCCTGGGGTCAGACCAACCTGGGAGATGCCCAAGAATGTTAGCAGCTTCCATAGCCCGCCTCCCCTGTGCTCTCTCTCACAGCTGGACTGTGAAGCAGCAGTGTGTGAATTTGCTGGTCGAGGGCCTGTGGGAGGAGCTGCTTGATGATGAGCAGCCAGACATCACGGTCATGGACTGGTATGTGCCTCTGCCCCACCAGGTTGCACACAGGTGCTCCCCAAAGCACCAGATTCACCCTGTGCTCCCCTTTGGTCTGGGCTCCTCACAAGGACCCTCCTGCCACTGCAGGATCCAGCCCTGCCCACCTCTCTGGCCTCTTCTCTCTGACACTCAGTTTTTGAGATGTGCCAGGTCCAACGCTATTCCTTCCTCCTTACATGCTTATTGCCCTCTGTGCTTGAGACAAACTCCTCCTCATCCCTTAAGAATCAGTTACACATGGCTCCACCAGGAAGCCTTCCCTGACCACCCCTCAGCTGGGTCAGAGGCGTTATGCTACAGTGCCCGGGACTTCCCCCATCCTGGCCCTGACCATTTCTGATGGTCACTGCCTGGTGACAGGCCTTATGAATCCCATGAGGGCAGGGCGTGGGTTATCTTGATCACTGCTGTGTTACCAGCACCACCCAGCCCAAGTGAACAGAGTGGGGTGCCAGTGAGTGTGTGCTGAATGGCGACTAGGGTTAGAGGTTGGGGTCAGGATGTTTGGGCTATGGTGGCAGCTGAAGGCCTGGACCCCACCCCTAGGTTCGAGGACAGCCGGCTGGACGTGTGTGTCTATGAGCTGCATGTCTGGCTGCTGGCAGCTGATCGCCGCACAGTCATTGCACAGCACCATGTGGCCCCCCGGACCTCATGGAGAGGTTCCCCGGGCCACTGGGTCCAGGTGAGACTCCCTTCCCCAACCACTACTCCCAGACTTGTGTTTATATCCCAAGACCTCACAGAGGGAAAAGGGAGGAGAGCAAGTCTCATAGGTCCCTAATAAGGACCTCTTTCTAATCTCGGGTTCTACCACAGGTGTCCCATGTATTCCGCCAGTATGGCCCTGGTGTGCGGTTTGTCCACTTCCTACACAAGACAAAGAACCGGAGGGAGTCTGGTGGGCTGCGGCGGACAAGGGTGACTGACTCCTCCGTGTCTGTGCAGTTCAGGGAGTGACTGGCTGGCTCCAGGCCTGTTCTGACCCCTTGTCTCATCTATCCACCCCTTGACACCTCTCTTAGCCCTTAGCACTTCCTGGACCCTTAGCACCCCCTGACCCCTTAGTACCCCCCTAATCCTTAGAAGTCCTTAACCCTTAGCACCTCCTTGACCCTTTAGCAATGCCATGTTCTCTCAGCACTTTCCTGATGCTCAGTACTACCCTATTCCCTTCATGAGCTCTCAACTTCTCCCTAATCACTTGCCACCACCTAGGCCCCCTTGATCGTGCCTGGTCCTCGGCTTCTCATTTGACATATTCACACATCCTTGACTGGCTGACTCTTTGGCATTTCACCTGCACTCTCTGGGATCCGGAAGGGCAGGGGCCACCTCTTCCTGAGTCAGTGGGTACTCAATAAATCCTTGTTGACTGAATGAATCAATACATGTGCCCAAAGATGCTAAGTATTTCCCTGGTCTTTGCTCCTTAGAATTTCACTGAGTTCATAGCCCATTCACACATCCTCCAATCATGATCCTCCAGCACCTCACAGCCCCTCTACCTTTTGCGCCTCTTTTGACCTCTGATCTCTTCATCTCCACCTATCTCATTTCCCATATTTCTTAACTCTCGGAATCTCCCTGAATTCCTCTCCTCCTTCCATTCCCCAAGTTGTCATCCACCTAGAGCTGCCCCCATACCTTTTCTTCCCCCAAGACCCTCATTTCTGTTCTCTAACTCCCCCCGGGCCCCCAAACCCAGGTTTCCATGAAGGGCCCTCATCCCTGGGGGTGGGGGTGGGAAAAGACTGCAAATTCAAATTTGCAGAAATATGCAAATTTGAACTAAGGTGTCCTCCATGTGTTGGGGAGGGAAGGGTTGAAAGTATCTAACAACCCATAAGTCCTAGGCTATGGCCAGATCCCACATCAGACCCTTGCCCTAGTCTGGGGCAGGTCCTTGAAGGTCTCCTGCTGTCCCACGAGTGAATCCTGAGTCTGGAGGTACCTGGCAGGCCAGAACAGCTTGAGGAGTGGGGGGCACTCAGGGAAGGGCTATCTATCAAAAAGTGTGGGAAGCAGATCAGTGTTTAACAATCAGCCGGTACCATCGCCTGCTACCATGTCTTATGGATGTGTGTCTTTGTGCACACATAAATCCATGCCAGAATCTATGAGTGTGTCCCCATCTGCAGCATTGTCCCACTTACGGGCTGATCCACATCTGACTGCTCTGCTCTCTTCCGCATCCTGCCCCTATCCTGTGTGGACTTGGGTCCCAAGCACAATCAGATGGCAGACAGGGACGAGTTCATAAGAACTGTATTGCAGGGAAGGCAGGGTGGGGGGCAGGCAGAAAGCTCTCTCCTTTTGGTGCTCGGGGCCTTCAGCAGACCCCAGGGACAAGGCCAGATGTGGGGTTCAGCACTCTGGGGGGGTTGGAGATAAGGAACATCTGAGGCATCAGTAGCATCTGCAACAGAATAAAAAATTATCACCAAGGAAGGAGTGCCAGAGACTCAGAGATCCAGGATGTGGGGTTCTAGAAACTTGAAATAAGGTGGGGTGGGGGGGGCTGGGGCTGGGCTCCAACTTCAGGGGCTAGGTGTCCTAGCCTGGGAGTTTGGGGCTGGGGGCTCTTGGGGAAGAAGGGCAGGTGGGGTGGTTTTAGAAGGTGCTATGGCTAGATCTAGGGCCCTGGGGTCAATGAGATTGGACACATGAGTGCAGGGTGGACTCAGGGGCCTCCAAAGTTGGGTCTGGGGGCTCTAGAACTTTAACAGGGGCTCTGAGACTGGTTTCCAGGGCAGAGGCTCATCTAGAGGGTCTCTAGGTGGGTGGGGAGCATAAGGGCTAGATAGGGTGTTCCTACAACTGGGTCTGGGGTCTCGAGGTCTGGGAGCTCTGGGATCTGATGATTTGGGGGTGGGGGACTGGCTTTGGTTCTGGGGGCTCCAAGGTGAGGAGGTTGATGGCTCCCAATCCCCAAGCTAGGCTTTGCAACTCCAAAGTTAGTTGGCCCTCCCTGAAGAATGCAGCTGTTGGGTGGGTAGGCAGGTGGGGATTCAGGTAAGTTGGAACGGGTTTCTCCCAGAATGGAGTTCTCCCAGAATGGAGGGTGGGGGATTGGACCAGCTTCTGAGTCTGGGAATCCCAGAACTGGGTCTGAGAGGTCAGAAGGATATGGACTTGCAGGAGGGAGTGCGGGTGAGAAAGGCGACCTCCAGGACTGATTCTAGGGACTCCCAATTTGAGTCAGGGGCTCAGAGGTCTGGACAAGCACTGAGGGGCGGGTGGGGCTGGGGCCTGAGTGCTAAGTTCAGAGCTCTGAACACGGGTGTGCGCCCTGGGGCGCGGGCAGGAGGGCACCTGCAGTAGAGGGCGGAGATGGCGTTGGACCAGTGGCCAAAGATGCCCCGGCGGTATTCTTCAAGGCGCGGGTAGGCGCCTGCGGTGAACCTTCGCGTCTTGCCGCCCTTGCCTTTGCGGGACCACACAGTGAGCTCGCAGCGCTGGCCCACCACAACGGAGGAGACGATGTTCGTCCAGCTTTTAGGCAGGAAGGGCAGGTCGGTGCCCGGCGCAATAGACAGCTCGGCGCCCCCGCAGCAGTTCTCGTAGTAGGGGTCACTTTTGTCGAAGAGCTTGGCGCACGTCCGCGTCCCGTCGGGCTTCTTGAGTTCGGCAGCAGTTGGGCAGGCTCCTTGGATGCCAGGGATGGCCACCATGGCCAGGGCCAGGAGCATTGGGTACAGCTGAGACATGGTGACACTGGATGGGCCAACGAGGCCACTGCAAGCTTTTATGCGCCTGACCCGTGGGAAGGGAGAAGCTGCGAGATAAGGACTTGGGCAGGGCGCCCCCTCCCCCACGTGCAGGGAGACCTTCACAACCCCGATAGGAAACCCACAACCGATAAATACAAGACAGACAAATTTGTATAAACCTTAGCAACTTAAGATTTTATGCGGCAAACAACATTATAAAGAAAGTCAATAAACAGGACTTAATAGGACTTGAGGACGAGTCACTTGCAACGCAGAGGGTAACAGGGTGAATAGGTATAGGTAGGAAGAACTCAAAAGATTGACAAGGAATGCAACAACCCTCCTTCCCTATAAGGAGAGGCTGAGGGAGGGGAAAAGAGGAGGCGGGCTGAGCCTTCAGGAAGAAGAAGCTGGAGATGAGTGGGGCCCTGGAGGGGAAGGGTGGGGCAGAAAAGATTGGGTGGAGCTCCCCTCTCACACTCTCCCCTCAGGAGCAGATCTTCCTAACCAAGGTTGAAAACCCATAACCTGTGACCTATGAGCTAGACCTACTTGTATAGCCCTTAAAAGCCACTGCAAGGCAATGTACAAAAGGTTTGGGGGAAATAGCTATAACATATAAAGAGTGATTACAAATTGACAAGAAGATGTCAAACAACCCCCCACCTCACCCCCAACCCCAAGAAAATTAAGCCTAGGAGGGGGAGAGGGAGGCAAAGGGGAGGCTGCTACCGCTCCCTCACTATCACTCTCTAGGAGCCAGGAGATTTTCCAAAAGGTTGGAAATCTTGGATCTATAAAATAAAGAGTATCTATTGAAATGTATAAAGCTTTTGTATAGCAAAAAAAAATCCAACAAAAACCTAATCTGGGGGAAAATAGACAGTTCTTGTAACATGCAGTGAACACTTACCAATCAGTCAGCAGAAACGACGCAAGCCAAAGGAAAAATTAGGGAGCAATACAAGAAGGAGAGAGAGGCCGGGATCTCAGGGTGGGACAGGGCCCTGGGTATCTGGGAGCCTGGCCAAGGCCCTTCAGAGGCTCTTTGGAGTTCCTGGACTCCTGCCAGATGAGAACAGGGTCAAGAGTGTGGATGAGCTGCTCAGACAGACAGTAATTCAAGTCTGTGGCTCTGTGGGTGAGTCAAAGTCTGGGCCTCAGTTTCTTCATCTGTGAAATGGGTGATATTTTCTCCTACACTATAGGATGACTGTGAAGATTATAAGGGATAATAGAAAGTTTGAGGGTTGAAGGAACAGCCTATGCAGCCAAGCTGCCTGGGACCAAATCCTAGCTCCTCCATGAGCTTTTGCACATGCTTTTACCTCTGGGCCTCATGGAGACAACAGTGGTACCCACCGCAGAAGGAGTGAATGGATTAATCCACATAGCAGCACTTAACAGTAAGGCCCTCACTAAGTACCATAGGAGCATTTGCCATCATTATTATTACCCTTAGCATGGTACCTGGCACATGATAAGGGTTCAATAAACATAAACCAGCACAACACAACATCAACAATTTGCTATCACCCAAGGTCACTCAGCTAACCCTACTCCCTACTGTCCCCTCAGCTTCTGTCTTCTATCTTGACCAAGGTAATGGCAGTGGCTGGAAAGAGCCAAAGGCTGGAAACGTGGAAGTGGGTTCAAATTTTGACTCTATCATTTTCCTGAGTGACCTTGCTTACTGTGTGATCTTAAGCAAGTTAATTCACTTCTCTGAGCTTCAGTTTCCTCCTATCTTCAATGAGATAATAGAATATGATAATAGAAATAGAAAATGATAACATAAAATTATAAAGTAATTTATAACTAATATAATAAAATATTCATAAGCTGAACAATTCACATAATTCTTATTTATTAATATACTTAATATGTCATATTGAATAAAACAACAGCATAAATATAAATATGAGGTCTGACAATTAAGTTCACGAGCTCATCCTAGAAAAAGTACTACATACCTCATTGCTGACTATCACTATGGTCACCTTCGAAGTACTCCCCTTGGGAAACTATGCACCGACACCAGCACCTAGACCTCCCTTCAAAGCAATTTTGGAACTTTTGTTCTGGAATGGCCATCAGAGCTGTCGTTGTATTACTCTTAATGTCCTGAATGTCATCCACATGTCTTCCTTTCAATAACTCCTTTATCTTCAGGAAAAGAAGTCCTTGGGGGCCAGATAAGGTGAATAGGGAGGGTGTTTCAGTACAGTTATTTGTTTACTGGCTAAAAACTCCCTCACAGACAGTGCAGTGTGAGCTGGTGCATTGTCGTGATGCAAGAGCCATGAATTGTTGGCGAAAAGTTCAGGTCATTTTCATCTAACTTTTTCACACAGCCTTCTCAGCACTTCCAAATAGTAAACTTCATCAACTGTTTGTCCAATTAACATTGTTGCAACAAGTTCATGAACTTAATTTTGAGACCTTGTATAAAGCACAAAGTACAGTGCCCAGCATATGGTACAAGCTCAATGAGTAGGAGTTATTATGACTATTCTTATAATGATTCTGAGACTCTGGACTCTGGCCTCTGGCCTGGCCCTGCCCCAGACCAGACCTGGATCTTTCTCCCTCTTTTTCTCCCGTGACCCCATGAAATCTAATCTCCAGCTGCTAATTTCCCAGGGGGCCCCTTTGACCTCAGTGACACAGAGCCCCCACCCTCCCAGCTCTGCAAGGGCCTGGACTTGGATGGGGACAGGTAAGTGTAGCATGCTTGGACACAGTCACCTAGAGCCTGACCCACCCAGAGGGGCTCTGAGCTTCAAACATGGATGGCATCATGGGATAACAAGGAGGCCTAAGAGGAAGGCAGACCCAGGGACAGGAACACAGGACCCACTGGGCCACAGCACATAGCTAGCGTCAGAGAGGACCCATAGAGATCACAGCATCCCCAATCCAGGGACACACACACATGGGCGTGGGGTGGGATCCCTGTTCACACAGACAGCCACTGATGGTCACTGAATCTCATTGGTGAACTGTACCCATTGAGTATAGACAAATGCTCGATACACAGTCCCAGAGCAACACAGTCCCAGACAGTGTCCCCCACCAACAAACCCTCAACCACACCCACCCTACACCCCACAAAACTTCAAACTCGAAAATCCTGACATGCGTGCATGAGCACATGCATGGCGTCTTCATCCAGAAACAATTTTCTCACTGTTTATTAACACAAACTGGACAAATAATAGAAAAATAAATATCTCTTTATTACACTTTTTTTTTTCAAATGGAAGAATGTCCTGCCCTTGAGGAACCCATGAGCCCTTGAGAAAGCCAGACAGTAAATCAATAATTCGAGCACAGTGTGAGAAGAGTTATAACAGAGGTATTTCAAAGGACTCTGGGAATGCAGTGGGAAGAATAGCAGGTTGTTTTTTTTTAATCCGCTGATATATTCTGATTCGTATAATAATAATTAAAAAAAATCCTCTTTTCAGAGCTCACAACCTTGATTCGACATTTTTCACCAGACAATAAAAAAGGAGATTGGTATACATGTGAAATTGCCACTAGAAGAAAGGAGAAAGTATTAGTCTTAATCAGGGTAGTACTTGAACATAAACAACATTATAGGTGGCACACAATTTAAATGAAAAATGCTACGTGTGGTGCATAAATACAGGAAAATATTCAGATCAGTAAATAAGTTCACACTGGATCATCAGAACTCATGAATTTCACTTCTGTAATGATGTCACTGAAAGGGATTATTTCTTAAGGGCTAATATGACCCTTCAAAGCAACCATAACTGTGTGGTTTGGAAACAGTGGTTCTCAAAGTGTGGCCCCTGGACCAACAGCGTCAGCAGCCCCAGGGCACTTGTTAGAAACGTAAATTCTCAAACCCACCCAGTCCTACTAAATCAGAAATTCTAGTGGTAGAGACCCAACAATCTGAATTTTCACATGCCCTCCTGGTGATTCTGACACACGCTGGAGTTTGTGACCCACTGGTCCTCCGAGGCTTCATATGTCACTGGCTGTTTATCACATCTAGAATTTTCTGCATTGATACCTCAGTTTGCTCAGCTCCTATAAAGTTTGTTTCTTATCATTTTCCTGATTGAAAAGAAAAATTCCAAGAGCAAAAGAAAGAGGGACCTCTCTAGGGGTCCCAGGTGGAGCCTCATAAGACAGTGCTGGGAACCCAAATGCCGGGAATGAACTTGAACTCTCCAACTTAGACGATAGGTCAGTCATCATCTAACTTTAGGTCAGGGCTGAAGACCATTTTCTCAGATACACCTACCTCAGTTGAGGAGCCTTGTTTCCAAGTCTCCTTGGGTCCCTGGTTCCCCTTGTGGTCTAAGCCAGAGCTATACAACCTTCACTGTGCCTCAGATCATATAGGGGTGGGGGTGGAGGAGGGTCTTGTTAAAATACAGATTCCGATTCAGCAGGCCTGGGGTAGTTTCAGGTTCTGCATTTTCTACAAGCTCCCAGGTGATGCCAGGCTGCTGGGGGCCGTTGAATAAGGCGGCTCTCCACAGACTGCATCCCAGTTGAGACAGATACAGCAAGAATACAGCTCCAAATCCGGAGCCTGCCAGCAAGAGAGTGTGGCAGGAATTCAGACGTGAGCAAGGCCGGCGGCGTGGGTGGTTGGGGGTGTGTGTGTTGGGGGGTAAGGGGGAGACGTAGGGTAGTGGTTGAGACTGAAAGAGAGAAACGCAAATGAAAGTTCAGAAGAAAGCCTGTGAAGGAAACGGAGTCTGAAACTCTTAGAGGCTGGAACGTCCTTGGCTCAAGTGTCCCTGCGGGTGGGCGGTGGAAACCCTAAGCTAAATCCGGAGCGGGGACGTGATTTCTCTGGTAGCAGGATGGGTTGGGGGAGGCTGGAAGTGCTCGCGAGGTGGCGCCATAGCACAGCGATTCATCAAGTAGGCTCCGGCGTGCGGGCCCCGGTGTTCAAATCCCAGCTTTGTCATTATATACGCTCCATGAACTTGTGCGGGTTACTCAACCTCTGTGAACTTCAGCTCCCTCCTGTGTGAAGTGGGGATAACACACGCAAAAGATAGTTGTAGTCTCTAGCTTTGGGGCTTGTAAAGGAAGTTTATTTCCTTTCTTATTGCTTATATTGGTCATTGATACATTCTCTCTTTTTTTTCTTTATCAGTTTTAAGATATATGTACTTGCAACAGTTTTATTAGTCTTTTCACATTACCCATGATAACCGATGTTTAG